TCGGTCTGATTTAAGCATGGTATATAAAATCATACATTGCAATGTCCTACCTGTCAATGAATACTTCAGCTTCAACCATAACAACACAAGAGCACACAATAGATACAAACTCAAAGTTAACCGCACCAAACTTGATTGCAGGAAATACGACTTCAGCAATAGAGTGGTCAATGTCTGGAATACTCTACCCGACTCTGTAGTTTCTTCCCCAAACCCCAAAAACTTTAACCTTAGACTGTCTACTATTGACCTCACCCCTTTCCTAAGAGGTCTGTAGGGGGCGTGCATAAGCGCACCAACGTGCCTACCGTCCTTGTCCTATTGTTTCTCTTATTCTTCTTTTATTTTTCTTATATGTACCCATTTCATGTATTCACAACTATGTATACACTTATACTTATTATCTTGTAAACAATTGGCAAATCAAATAAATAAAAATAAATTAATAAAATGCTAGAACTTTAGATATCAACAGAGAATGTTTAACCCGTGTCACCTCCATTGAAAGAAAAACAAACCTAAAGAGGAAGTTGAAAAAGGGAGAAACAAGTAGTGTTCTGATACTTCCTGAAGTATTTAAAGTATACACAGCCATTTTGCCCCAAAGATTGAGTAATGTAGATAATGGAAGACTAGGGACATGCTATTATAGGCCCCAAAGTAAGCAAATTAATCCAGCAACTTGCATTATTAGTTTGCTCATTATGGCAAGTAAACTTTATGCAAAGTACCCTTTAATTAAATAAAGTTATTACAATATCTCGTAGATGACCCTCACTCTGTCAAGGACCTAGGAGTACTTATCTCAAATGTTCTAAGCCCAGAGCTCACTGTAACAGCATTGCCAAGAAGGCTTTAAGAGTTGTTAACCTTATTTTGCGAAGCTTCTTCTCCAGCAACATTGAATTGTTAACTAGGGCATACAAAACCTTTGCCAGACCAATTGTCAAATACAGCTCGTTCACCTGGAACCCACACTGTACATTGGACATTAACACAATTGAGCGGGTTCACTTTAGAGGTATTTCTCAAGAAAAGCACTCCACTCCTCCACTCACAATAGAATTCCCTATGCCTCTAGGCTCAACATTTTGGGCCTGGACAATCTAGAACTGTGCCACCTGCAGTGCGATCTAAGCATAGTACACAAAATTGTCTGTAAAACGTCTTACTTGTCAACAACTTCTTCAACCTCAATCACAATAATACACAGGCAAACAACCGATACAAACTCAAGGTAAACCGCTCCAAACTCAATTGCAGAAAATGCAACTTCAGCAACAGAGTGGTCAATGCCTGGAACTCCCTACCCGACTCCATTGTTACAGCCTCAACCCTTCACAGCTTCAACCTCAAACTGTCTACTCTGCACCTCACCCCATTCCTAAGAGGTCTGTAAGGGGGAATGCATAAGTGCAACAGCATGCCTACCATCCCTGTCTTACTGTCCCCCTTTATCTGTATTTACTCCCTTTGTTCTTGTTTATGTTCATACTTATACTTGTTATGTTGTACATGTTTGACAAACAAATAAATATTAAAACTAATAATAATAAAGTGTTTTAATATAATGAAATTATATTTTAAATAATTAAACTGTTCAAAATTAAAGCTAAAAATTAAAATTATTATTATCAGTCAGATTTCAACCAAGGCTAGTTATTGGTTCATCTTGTGTTGATTTTTCCATAATACATTGTACACTTACATTTTAAAAAAGAATTCTATCTTCCTAAATCATCTGATAACCTGATAACTATGTTCTGCATGAGAATTATATAATAATTCTCTTGACACTATCAATAGGTCCAAGAAGAGTAATTCAAGCCCCTGTCACTTACTGGGAGAAGGAAAGTTTCCCAAGAAATCTAAAAGGTATAAGTATAGTTTGTAAATAAAAGGAATTTAAAGTGACTGGATTAAATGCCTCATAACTATGTTATAAGCTAGAGGTGGGTGGTTTTTTTTTTTTTGCAATCTTAACTTTCCACGTGTTGAAAATAACAATTACATTCCAACTATTCTCAGATAATGCAAAATTCTATGTTTTACAGTTCTTAGATTTATTTTAAAAATTCAGTAAACCAGTATGGGCATTTTAACTTACCTGCACAAGAGTTCTATAGTTATCTTTATGACTGGGCTTTCAAATAATAGAATGAAAATATTATACAAGAGTAATCCAACAATTAATTGCAAGTATTTGCAGAAGACAGTCTATTTTGTTTTTCAATATTTAAATATGAACTTACCTATAATCAGTACTGGATGTTTTGACAATAAAAGAAGACTTGCTAGGAAGCTGTGGCGAATAGTATCAATATTGGGAATAAATGCAGAGGCCTCTATTTTCTTTTCTTGATTTTCTAACATGTTATTATCAGAATCGGAAATATCTGATGTCTCTGAAGTTTAAAAGATTACAATAATTATTTTAAAATATATTTAAAAAGTAAAATATTGTAAATCACGGCCAGATGAAAAAATAGATAGATGAGGGGTTCCAAAGATCAATTAGGCTATGACATTCAAGATTACCAGAAAAAAATGTATTTTAATATTGCCTTCTAACCTTCAAGTCACTGAATAGGCAGGAAAAAGGATGGGCAGAGATGATTGAAAGTACAGATAAATAGAAGCGGATGGAGAAATTATATAAATCCTGGTAAAATTTACTAGTTAGGTAATACCGAGCTTTGTGAGGAACTTATGTTTGTTGAAGTGATAACGGTTGTCTATGAACAGAAATTGGTTCTTTTTAGAAGTAATGACAATGACATTTTCAGCTCTTAGTGGTTCAAAATTTACTTGTATGTCTAGGTATCTATTCTCAATCATACAGTATTATGCTTTAATTTCTAGAGTTAGGCTTCAGCATCTAGGATTGAATTTATCTCTGAATAAATTAACATTGTTCTCCTCCCAAACACTGAATGCCTCACTTCATCTTTCAGAAATATGTGTTTCTAAACCCTAAACTTATTAAATGTTTTCCAGGACTTTCAAAATAATTTAATAACATGAAGCAACTACAACTATACTCACCTTTCTGGATAAGAAATTGCGTGCTGGGAACTAAATGTCCCCATGGTTCAAATTCTCCTGTTTGTAAATCCACAAAATAATCAAAAACAGTTTTATCTCCAGGTGGCATCTGGATATCTGAAAGTTCAAAAAGTGAGCCATGTTTTATTACATAAATAATGTAAAATTAATGGGTGAATAGGGCATATTTTCTATAAAGATAGATAGATAGTTAGATAGATAGAATTCTTTATTGGCCAAGTGTGATTGGACTCTCAAGGAATTTGTCTTGGTTGATATGCTCTCAGTATACATAAAAAGAAAAGATACATTTGTCAAGAGTCAAGAATCATAAGGTACAACACTTAATAATAGTCATAGGATACAATAAGCAACCAAATCATATTAGGAAACAGTCAATAAAAATCATAAGGATACAAGCAACAAAGTTACAGTCATACAGTCATAAGTGGGAGGAGATGGGTGAGAAGGATGGGAAGATTAATGGTAATGCAGACTTAGTAAATAGTTGTGTTGAGGGAATTATTTGTTTAGCAGAGTGATAGTGTTCAGGGAAAAACTGTTCTTGTGTCTATTTGTTCTGGTGTGCAGCGCTCTATAGCATCATTTTGAGGGTAGGAGTTGAAACAATTTATGTCCAGGATGTGAGCGGTCTGTAAATATTTTCACAGCCCTCTTTTTGACTCATGCAGTATACAGGTCCTCGATGGAAGGCAGGTTGGTAGCAGTTGTTTTTTCTGCAGTCCTAATTATTCTCTGAAGTTTATGTTTGTCTTGTTGGGTTGAAGAACCAAACCAGACAGTTATAGAGGTGCAGATGATAGACCCAATAATTCCTCTGTAGAATTGTATCAGCAGCTCCTTGGGTAGTTTGAGCTTTCTGAGTTGGCGTAGAAAGAACATTCTTTGTTGCGCTTTTTTGATGACGTTTTTGATGTTAGGTGTTCAATTTAGGACTTGAGTTATGATAGAACCTAGAAATTTGAAGGTCTCTACTGTTGATACTGTATTGTCTAGTATTGTAAGAGGTGGTAGTATGGAAGGGTTTATCCTAAAGTCTACCATCATTTCAATGGTTTTGAGTGTGTTCAGTTCCAGATTGTTCCGGTCACACCACGAGGCAAGTTGTACAACCTACCGTCTGTATGCGGATTTGTTGTGGTCTCGAATGAGACCAATCACTGTTGTATCATCTGCAAACTTCAGTATTTTAACAGATGGATCATTTGAGAGGCAGTCATTGGTATATAGGGAGAAGAGAAGTTGGGGGGGGGAGGCTGTGTTAATTGTACAAGTATCAGGTGTGATTCTGTCTAGCTTCACCTGCTGCTTTCTGTCTATGAGGAAGCTTATGATCCACTTACAAGAGTGTTCAGGTACTGCTGGCTGATTTGGTTTAGTTAGCAGAATGTCTGAAATGATGGTATTGAATGCTGAACTAAAGTCTACAAAGAGGACCCTTGCATAGTTTTTGGAGATTCAAGGTGTTGTAGATTGTGGTGCAGATCCATATTAACAGCATTATCTGTTGATCTATTTGCTCGATTTATTTGCAAATTGCACGGGATCTAACAGTGGATCTGTGATGGTTTTCAGGTGGGACAGCACTAGCCTTTCAAAGGTTTTCATAACTACAGATGTTAGAGCAACTGGTCTGTAGTCATTCAGTTCCCTGATGGAGGTGCTTCTTTGGCACTGGGATGATAGTACAGCATTTGAAGCAAGAAGGAACATAGCACATCTTTAGTGATCTATTGAAGATTTGGGTGAAGATGGATGCCAATTGGTCAGCACAGACTTTTAAGCAAGAAGGAATTATCTTGTCTGGGCCTGGTGCTTTTCCTGGCTTTTGTCTGTGAAATAGATCTTGCACTTCTTTTTCTGTTATCACAGAGGTTGTGAACCCAATGGGTTAGGGTTAGGGTTAGACTATAAGTGTATAGCAGATATGTTTCTGTCATATAACCCCACCCTACCCACTCCTTTGCACTGGCTTGAATGTATGTAGATTCAAAGCAGGAGGAGTGAACCTGGATCTAAGATCCTGCTAACAGCTGACTTATGTTCAAGCAAGCTCAAATACCCCTCCTCCCTTTCAGGTTGTTGGAGGTGAAACATTCACTGTGTGCATTTGAACATTCCTGAGACCAGGATTCTGACCCAGTGGTGGGATTCAATTTTTTTACTACCGGTTCTGTGGGTGTGGCTTATTTTGTGGGCGTGGCTTGGTGGTCGTGTGACTGGGTGGGCGTGGCTTGGTGGTCATGTGACTGGGTAGGTGTGCTTGGTGGTCATGTGACTGGGTAGGTGTGGCCAACTCAATGTCACTCACATCAAGGGGTGTCTCACCTGGCCCCTCCCCTCCCAGCCATTCCTTGTCACGCAGCCTCAACTTATCTATAGTTCTGTAAAAATGTTGTTCACCTTTTTTGACTTTATTATCTGCATACTATAGATGTACTTTCATGGACCACTGAAAGGAGGAAATGGCTCACATGCTTTACCCAAGAGTGTGATAGGCAACAGGCTTTTAAGGGGCTGCCACAAAGAAAGGGGGACAATGTATTTTCCAAAGAAGCAGAATGCAAACAAGAAGCAATGGATTTCCATTGCTCTCTGAACAGAGAGAAGCAACCTAAAACTAAGGAAAAACTTCCTGACAGTGAGAACAATTAACCAGTGGAACTGCTTGACTCCAGAAGTTCTTGGTGCTCAATCACTGGAAGTTTTTAAGAAAAGACTGGACAGCCATTTCTCTGAAATGGTATAAGGTTCACCCCAAGGTCCCTTCTGTTATTCTGTTATTCTGACACCTTCCCCAGGATTTCTACTGAGAGTTTGGCATCCTCAGTTTTCTTGACTGAGCTGGGGGTTGGACTAGAAGACCTCCAAAGTCCCTTTCAACTCTTGTTAAACACATGTGTATTTATGCTCTGCACTATTGACATTGAATGCATGTAAACCCTGAAAAATATGTGGTAGCCCTGGGCAAAAGAAAGGCAGAAAAATCACTCTAGGTGTAGGAACAGTATAAAATATTAACACATGATAAATAATGGAACAATTAAAAATAATACCACAGAGTTTTCTCTCTCTCCCTATTTTTTTCTTTCTTTCTCACTCTTTCTCTGTCTTTCTTTCTTGGTCTCTGTTTTTCTTTCTCTCCCTTCCTCTTCCTCTCTCTCTCTCTCTCTCTCTCTCACACACACACACACACACACATACACGGAGCACTTTTGTAGCTTAACAGGCATGCATTTTGAAGCAGCTCCTTTAAATTTCTCCAAGGCTGGAGGGGATTCCCCCACCCCCTCTGTCAGACCACACTCCTTCTCACTCCAGGCACTTTAATTCACAAGGGGAAAGCGATACTTGCAGCGTCCATGGGGAATCCTTAGAGAAGTTTAAAGGACCTGCTTCAAAATGCATTTTTGTTAAGTTGCAAAAGTGCTCCAAGGCTGGATTCAGCCCCACCCCCTCTGTCAGCCCACACTCCCTTTCATTCCAGGCACTTTTAACTCACAAGGGGAAAGCAATACTTGCAGCATCCATGCCTTTCTTCCTTTCCCTCGGGGAGAAGGAGGACGCGAGGAATGGAGGCTGCTGCGCCCATGCCTTTCTTCCTTTCCTCCCAGGAGGAGGAGGACGCAAGTGGTGGTGGTCCAGGGGGACAAAAGAAAGAAATCGGCTGGCTAGTCTTCTCTTTCTCTGCCGGTTAGTTCTGTATGGCCAAGGAAGAGGAGATCAACTGGCCAAAGGGGCGGCTGCTGGAGGCGACTCTTTTTCGGTCTCCAGTTGCCTTTTCAGCACAGAAATCCTCCCCAAATTGACTGGCTGGTCGTCTTCTTCTCTGCCTATTTGTTCCGTATGGCAGAGGAGACGACCAGCCAGACGATTCGGGGAGGATTTCTGTGCTGCGAAAGAGGCAGCTACAGATTCTGGCTTCGCTCCGCTTCTCCAACAGTCTGGTACCTCCCTGTTTTATGCGCCAGCCACTTGGACTTGCCGTGCCCAGCAAAAGAACAGGGTGTGCTTTTTTCAGTGCAGCTGCTAGACTGCAGCTGCACCGAAAAAAGCACGCAGCAGCTGCCCGCATCTCGCGACAAGTGGGACGAGGACCCCCGGAATATCCACTCACCCACCTGCTGGCTGGGCCGGGCTGAAAGAAGCACGTCTGCGGGGAGAAGGAAGAAAATGTGCTCCAGGAGGGCAGCAGGTGGGTGGATGTCCCGGGGCTGCTGCACATGCACACTGCATGTATAGCAGTTGCACATGCAGTGCACATGTGCAGCAGCCCTTGGACATCCACCCGAGCTGCGCCATGGCTGCCACGTGGTAAGGAAAGCTAGGAGAGCGACCAGGGCAAGTGAGAGACTGGGCGCCTGGGCGACCGGGTTGGGGGCGTGGCCAGCCAGGGGTTGCCACTGGTTTGGTGACCTATGCCAAATAACCACTACCGGTTTGCCTGAATAGGTGCGAACTGGTTGAATACCACTTCTGGTCTGACCTGAGCAAGGATTAACAAAACTGTTTTAGAATACAATGTAATTATATAATATTACAACAAATTGGAGATATTTAAGAAATGCATAGGCAAAGCTTAACATCTAGCTTGCTATAGTCTAGCAGGAGAAGAATCTGAGAGCATGTCTGTTGTGCCTATGTGCCTGGGAAGAAAGGCAAAAGGGAGTGTCTCAATTAGCATTCTTTTAAGCTAAAAGCCTATAAAGAAATGACACAACAGTTAACTCAAAACTCTACAAGCATGTTTCAAAAATTTTCTTTAAAAAAAATTAATTATATTTATATTAATGGTTCTGTTGCTAATTGATAGGCTTCTCATATGTGTATTCATATTGCAATAATGCTAATTTAACTAAACTAGTCTATGCATTGCTGACCAGCAGCAAGTTCCAATGCTTTTCACCTGCCCTATTAATATCTTTGTATAAAAAGAAATTGAATCCCAGGTCCTCTTACATGAAATATCTGACTTTTCCATTGTTCTGCATGTCTTCTCTTTCTCAGCTAGCATATTCAATTGGAATCTCTTCTGTATTCAAAATCTACAGTTACACAGATGCTACTTACATATGTATATACACATGAAGATATAGATAAGTAGATATATTTGTCAGCTGCATTATTTTGGAAACCAAACTATATAGTTCAGCTTCATTGAAATGTAATATCTTTGGCCCTTTCCTGTTCCACTAATTTGTTACTTAATATAAATATTTATTCAGTTAATGGAAGTAGAATATACACAGTAACTATATTGTGAAAGCACTAGAAATTTAGAACTTACTAGTAGGTGGTTTTTTGTCAAATAATTCACGAACAAGATAATTGAAGTCAGATGTTACATGTGCAAGTTCATCTTGGCTAGTGTTTATATCAATGAGAGTTTCACCTTCATGCTCTTCCTCTCGTTTTAAAGTTCCTCCAACAGCCCAAGTGAATGCAAATATGAAAATTTTCCCCAATAATATGAGCATTTTATTAGGCTCCTTTTCCCACAACCATATCTCACCGCCCCTGAAATGAATGAATAAAGAAGTTATCTTAATACAAACTTGTTGCTAAACATAAAAAGGATACTGTATTTATACTGTACTTTTGCAAGTTAATTTTTTAAAATCCTGAATATTTTATTATTTATGAATGAACTGGCTTTTTACACAGGCTTTTGGTGAGGAAGAGTGAGATCCCACACTTTATTGGCTTGCCATCTTTTGTGGTTTACTGATTTCATTGTAATTTGTTTGATTGTTATGAGCTGCCCACAGCCACTGAGAGACAGATGGCATACCAGTTTAATAAATCATTGACAAAATCACCACCAGACACATTAGTAAAATCATTAAACCTCAAAAAAGGCACTGTATTGGGCTTCGGAGGCGGTGGGGTTTCGCGATCTCTGCGATCCCCGCCGCGCTAGCCGCTCTTGGTTCCTCCGACCCAGACGGGTCCGGAGGATAAGGTTCCCCCTTAGAGGCAACCGAAGACAGGGAGGATCCGGACAAGGGGTTGGGGTGTTCGCAGACCCCTTCCCCACCCGGCATAACCTCCTTTTCTCAAGTCGGTCCAGCGGCGGTCAGCAATGGCCGCCACGAAGAAGCCAGCAACCGGACAAGATCGTGCTGGAGGAAGAAGGAGAAATTTTTGAAGCGAAAGTTTTTTTGGCTGAACTGGGATTAGAAGATATATTTAATACCCTGAAATCTAAGATTTGGGTTTTTGTTTGAAAGATACTTTGTTTCCAGAAGAGATTGGCAAGCGGCGAGTGAAAGTGTTTTCAAGTGAAAGTTTACTCTCCTTCCACATGGAATTAACAAATGAATGCTGAAAATACTACTATTCTATAAAAGGTAAAAATCTAAAGCTTCTTGTTATAAATGGGAAGGGAGAGGACAAAAGGAAAATTTATACTAAGATTTTGTTGAAGGAGATGCCTGGAAGATTTTAGAGATTGGAAGTTACTGTAATAAGAACTTAAAATACAGACTGGTTTTCTTTTTCTCCCTTTGCAACTGATTTTAACCCAGGAAGAAGGGAAGAACTTTGTGCTTTGTTTGGATTGTTTGGTGACTTTGGGACTTTGGGATTTGCTTTAAGCTTGGAAATATCTTTGGCTGTTTTAAGAAGAAGAAGAAGAGGATTTACAATGACTTTATCTGCTGATGAACTGAGAGAGGAATATGGCAAAATAAAGAAAGACGATGTGGGAGAAATTTTTTGCTTTTTAGAAATGGCGCTTGCTACTTATCAGCAAATACAACAATTGATGGAAGAAGAAGAAGAAGAAGAAGCCATCTTTAATGAACCCATAGAGGTGCTTAAGAAAGGAAGAAGAAAGAAAGGGGAAAAAAAGGATATAAGACTTAAAAAAATATCTAAGAAAGAGAAAAATAAGATGCAAAATCAATATAAGGCTAGAAAGCAAAAGGAAAGAGAAATACAACAGAGAGGGGAAGTTAAGGGGGGTAAAAAGACCAGATGGGATAAGACAGGGAGGAAGAAGGGGGAAAAAGGCCACGAGGGTATCAAACAAGATGTGAAAAAGAAATGGTTTTTTAGGGATAAAGGGTAATATAATTTGGTTTTAAAAGGATTCTGCAAGGTACATATGATAGTATTGTAGTATCTGTATTAGAAATAGAAAATTATAATTTTATTTGAGTAAAGACTAAAATATTAAAGGATTAATAATGGTAGAATTTAAGATTTAATAAAATATTAAAAGGAAGGTCTAAAATATTTAGATTAAATATAGATTTTAATTGACTATTGTGTGGATGTTAGTATGAATATATTATTGTAATATTTGCTTTTGAAATAGATAATTGGAATGTTATGAGATTTAATGTTTAATGACATATTTAATTATGTTATGGATTCACTATTTTCTTTTTGTAAGTAGTATGTACTAAGCAGAATCAGATAGGGAATTTGGAGTTACCTTAAATGTTAATTTAGAGGTGCGATGGAAAGGCATCATACTTTGATTTGTGATTTCAGGAGAAATTCTTTTATTTTATTATGGGGAATGAAATATATAGACAATTGGAAAACAATGGACAAAGGATAGAAATATAATGATTTAAATTAAGTTAATAAACAAAATAGAATTAAGAAGAGAGGAAAGCGGGGAGAAGTTATAAAGAAATTACAGAATGGTAATTAAGATAGGTAATGGCATATAAGATGAATATGAATTTAATTGAAGTCCATACAAAGAGTGGTAATCCGGGGCCAAGCTACTTTTTTGAAAAAGAAGTTTTACTTTATGTGTTTTGTGTGTCTATGTTTATGTGAGATTTAGTAAAACCTTGGAGGAAAGCGGGAGGAGAATAATTGCAAACAAGACAGAGGGAAATATGAATATGATGATTAAATTTAATGAGAAGAAATGAGAGTGTTAAAAGATATTTAAGTAGAAATGGGATATATTAAAATTACACTGTATAAAATATTGTATTATCTGCCTTGTAAAAATTTACAAGGGAAAGAGGTTTAATGTGTACAAGGTTTATGTTTTGTTTGTCTTCAAAAATTAATAAAATTTGTTTTAAAAAAAAAGGCACTGTATTTATCCTTTTGTAAGACTTAATACCTTAGACTTAAGGTATAAAGAATTGGCTTGCCATCTTGTATAATTTGCCAGTTTTATTGTAATTTGTTAGATTGTTATGAGCTACCCATAGTCATTGAGAGTCAGATGGCATACAAGTTTAATAAATTATTGTTAGTGTTATTATTTGGTCTGATATGATAGTTTAGTATTTTTCATTATTTTAATGGTATTTGGGTTAGTTAATTGGTATTGTATTTTTTTGCAGGAAATGAGCTGAGTAGCATTATGTTTTTTTAAAAACAATAAAACCTGAATGGGTGCAAAAAAAAGAAAGAAAAATCTCAAATGATTACAAATATACACAAAAAGGATTTAGAGTTTTTAGCTTGGTGAGGAGGCAAGTAAGGTAAAAGATAATAGGATGTAAAAAACCATGCATCTTTCATTGTACCCCTCTTCCATTGTATAAGAATATTGTGTTAGCCATTAAAACTAGATGCAGAGAGATTTGAAACATTGGCAAACAAATTGGTCAATGATTTAGATAGTTAAAAAGGAAACTAAGCAAATTCATGAAGGATCAGTGGGTCCTAGTCTTGATGGTTGATTACTGTCTTCTATATCATGGGCAGCATTCCTTAAACATCAGATGCTAAATAGCAAATGTGGAAGAGAACCCATATTTGCAAGGTTCCTGAATGCATGTAGCTGACCACTATTATACACCAGTAGTGGGATGCAAATTTTTTTGCTACTAGTTCTGTGGGCATGGCTTGGTGGGTGTGGCTTGGTGGGCATGGCAGGGGAAGGATACTGTAAAATCCCCATTCCCTCCCCACTCCTGGGGAACGGCTACTGCAAAGTCTCCATTCCCTCCCCACCCCACTAACCTGCTTTCCAGCTCCATTCTCCTGTGCAGAGCACCAAAAGAAGACCCAGCCGATCAGCTGGGACTTGGGAGGCAGAGAATAGGTGGTGGTGGGGCCAGTCAGAGGTAGTATTTGACGGTTCTCCGAACTACTCAAAATTTCCACTACTGGTTTTCCAGAACTAGTCAGAATCTGCTGAATACCACCTCTGTTATACACCATGCTGAACTAGAAGAGCCATTAACCTATTTCAGCAGGAATGTGAATAAATGCTTATGTTCTCATAATTCACTTACCTTTTCTTCATTATTGGTGGGACTCTTCCACTGAATGAACTGAATGTTTGTAAAAATTGGGGATAATCCCTCTGGTTTATTGTTGAAAAACTCACTGTGCTGCTTTGTCGTCTTTTCTTACCTGTAATATAATGTTTCTAATTATATATTTGACTCTTTCATTAAATAGTTTAATACATTCTACAATTTAATTATACTTTCCTCTATAATTGATTTTATATTTTGATTACACTGAATACATTTTACTTTTATTTTAATCTACTACATCTACTGAAGATGTATCTACAATTCTACTTGAATTGTAGATACATCAGTATATAGTGTTTCAATATTATTTGTATGTATACACACACACACACACATATACATATACACACACATATATATATATATACACACACACACATACATACATACATACTTTGGTTAAAGTCACTTGGAGATGGGATTCTATAGTATTTCCAGCAAAAAGCAGGAAATGTTGCTTATATTTTGTTATTATTCTCCTGTATTATGTTAACTAAACGGTTAGTAAATACTCCCTAACATATGATTGTTTTTATCAATTTTTGGCACAACACATTTTGCATTAGATATTAAAGAAACAGGCAACATAAAACATAAGGAGAATAGTAAAAAAATACAAGCAACATTTCCTGCTTTTTGCTGGAAATCCTATAGAATCCCATCTTCAAATTACTTTAACCAAAGCAAGGATGTATAAATGTGAGCAAGTTGATTAAATTGATTTCAGTATTAAGGTGATTGGAGTAACATTCACAAAGGGAAAACTTCCTGTTTCCTTTAGCTACTTGGGCTCCTTGAAATTCCTCATTCCTTCACACCCAAATTATATTTAAAGAAAGTTAATGAATAAATTTTAACATGTGTTATGTCTGTATGATTTATTATTATTATCTATACATATCAAGAGTTAGCTCTGAAAATTTCTTCTTCTTCCATTAACTAGGGGTTATCAATCTTTTTTCCTCATGGTCTTCCTTTAAGTGTCATTTACATTTGTGATTCCCCTCATAATCACTGTTTGCTGGGAAAAAAATATTAAATATTTATTTATTAAATATTAAATATCTGGAATTTTGTATTGAACAATGCTATAGAAATTAATATGATTGAGATATGAACCATCCATTTAAAAACCTTAATGCTCAGTTACATCGGGACTCCTCCCTCAAGATTACTGCTGAATGGTAGAAAGATTTTTTTCTCCTGCCCATGATCTACTGATTTTGCTTTCAAAGCTATTTCAGTCTTGAAGATTGCAGTTCCTAGCGGGGACTACTGGAAAGTTAGGTCATCCGTTCATCTTTTCCTCTTGACAAATTGTTTATTTTAATATTACTTTGGTTTTAACTACACTTTTTGAAGTTTGCTTTTTATCTTTAAATTAACAAGCTTGTTGAATGCTGGTTTATTTTATCCCCTGCTGGACTTTATCTGTATTTTTTTTGTCTCTTTCCTTTTATTTATTTTGCTGTTTTGAATAATTCTTGTTTCTCCATAAGGAAGTCACAGCATGTTCTTGAGTAGTGAAAGTGTTCTGACTTGATTTACATTAATGTAAGACTTTAACTATATAGATTTTGCATTTTATTAATTTGCTTATTAATTTTGAACTTCTTTTGTTAATTTTCTTTTAATTTTGGATTGAAATTTTAAAAAAGTATTTTCCCTGCTTCTCTATTTTCTCACTCTGAGGAATATCACTTCAACAGTCTTAGATCTCTGTCTTTGAAGAGTTTTTTGAAAACTTTTTGAAAAAGTTTGACAAAATAATAATGGCTACAAAAATGCATGTAACAGCAGTTACACCAGATTTACAAAAGGAACTTGGTTTGAAACTGGCAGATTCAGTGGGGAAGATTGAAAGAAATATGGATTTTACAGATTAGAACTGACTGAGTGGATAAGTGATAGATTGGTTTCCTCTAAGAGTGAAGGAGATTAGGGAATGGATTTATTACGTTCAACTGATATATTTTTTTGGTCTGGACTCTTTTGGGAAGATAGATTGATTTTGGAGAATTGATTTATTATATTTAGCCAGACCACAATTGACATTATTAAAATGTTATTAAGAAGCAAATAAGGATATTTGATCCAGGATGAATCAGAGTTAACTATCAGAATGATTTGGGATAGATAAGAACCCGTGGTAAACGTTCTACGGGATAGATAGAATAATAGTTTGTTAGCAGAGGGTTTTGAAATTTTAATGTTATTTGTTGTTGTTGTTGTTGATCTATCTGTTAACTATTTTGTCATTAATATAGTAGATAGATGACAGGCCAATAATTTGCAAATAGAATTATAAGTTTAAAAATTTCTGGGCCTATTTCACAAGGGATGGAAAACTATTGTTACAACATATATAATCAGTATGCAAGTAGGGCTAATAATAAGTATATATGTGTTTGTATCCTTTTTAAAGCACTTATTAAATGTCCTGTTTGTTTTGTTTTCTTTGTTTTTGTAAAAACATTTTTTGAAGTTTTGTATTTTAACTTTTTTGAATAAAACAAAAAAAATAATGTTAACTTACATTAACATTGATTATGGTGAGTGGATTTTCCTAATGAGACAACTATTCTTATTTAAATTATCAAATATGGTTTCTGTTTCATTCTTCCCCTGCTTGGAGGACACTCCTAAGATGTGTGGACATCAAGCATTTCACCAGTTATCATCACCATTACTGAGAATTCTAAGAGTTCAAAGTCAAACATATTTCAAGATACTTAGTATGTACAGAATTATGGCATAAACATTTTTTAAAGTTTACTTACTATCTTGTGATACTTGACTTAGTTTCATTACATGAATAAATGAATCGATAATTCTGCAAATGTTCATTACTATCCCCAACTGATGTACAGGAAATGCTTGCATTTTCTTATGTTTATTTAGAAAAGTTAACCCTATCTTTATACTTGAGTGAAATAAACTTTCAAGATATTCAATACAATTTTCTGGTATTATTTCAGAAATGCCTTGCAGCCATGTTTTGACATAAGGCTCCCATCCCAAATCAGCAGGATCCTGCAAATAAATAAAATATATGAAGAGATGTTCAGCAATATATATATTTGAAGATTTCATTTAATTATTTATATATGCAATGTAACATATATATTTTTTAGCCAACAGGGTGATACCCATACTAAGAATGCATACACACACACACACACACACACACACACACGTATGTATGTATGTGTGTATGGTATTTAGGTTTCTTCGGGTATTTTCTCACATCTTAATATT